AAATATATGGAAAATAAGTATTTCTCAAATAAAATCTATATGAAATTGATTATTATAATTGAAATTTAGTTTGTGTAGAACTTTATATGTAAATGAAAAGTGCATGCTGATGTGGCTTTTTTAGAAGAAAAAAAAAAAAACTTTAGAATTGCCATCTAAATAAAAGAAAAACACTACTTGTATATATGTGTGTGTATATATATATATATATATATGATTTGGTTTATCAATATTAAATGGAATGAAATGTAATGGTTAGAATAATTCTTATGCGTACAATTGTAACATGCAATAATTGCATTACATATATTACCAAATTATATTTATAAAAAAAAAGTTGGATATAACGTAAATTGTTCGGATTAAACCAAATCAAACCATATAATGAGAACCAAAAATACTTACAGAGAATTAAAAAACTTACAAACAGATTATAAAAATCTAGAAACGAAAAACAACTTGATTGAGGCTTGTGTTGGACACAATTTTCTTAAGACAAATTCGTCCCTCGCTATGGTGCTCACAAGTTTTTATTGGACGTTCGTCTCCCAAGATACAACGATCGAACCTTGCAAAAGCAACACTACCATAACAAGTCTGGCGAACACTACAACAAAAAAGGTCTATGGTGACAAAAACGCATGATGAAAAAATGTCCCGTCCCAAATATACATGTTTTAGTGATGAAAATAAAATTTCGTCTCCAATTGTACTATTTTTAGAGACAAAAACAAAATTTTGTCACCAAATGCTTAAAATAAATAAAATAATAGGTAACAAATTTTTTTTTTTCATCTCTAAATTTTATTTTTCGTTATAAAACAAATTCCCGCCCTTAGAAATTTTGGTGGAAAATTTGGGCGTTATATTAGAGACGAAAAGTTTCGTCACCATTGTAAAAATTTTCAGAGACAAATATAATTTTGTCACCTATAATTTAAGGGGGCAAAATGACGCCGTTTTGTCTTCCCAAATCCCTCTACCCAAATCATTTTTCTCTCTCGCGCTCTTTCTCTCACTCTCTTACCCAATCTCATCTCTCTCTCTCTCTGGTCTGAGCTTGTGAAACCCTTTTACCAATCTCTTCCTTGCCTTTTCACACGCACACGAGCACTGCCAGAAACCCTCTCTCTCCGTTCGAATCGTACCATCGGAAGCCCTCTTCTCCATTCATTTTGCTTCACTGATGCGGCACCATCGATGCGGCACCACCGACACCCTCTGGCATTTCCTCCCCCACCCCCACCAGCTTCAACTGAATCAACACCACAACTCTCTCTTTCCAATCCAACCAAAATCTCTCCGATCTCTTCGTCGATATGTTTCAAGTAATTCAATCTTCTTCTTCACCCCTTAATTTCTTAATTTCTTCGTTTTTTTCCCCTGAATCAGATCAATCTCTCTGTAGAAGATAGGCTATTTGAATGTTTGCCTGTGTATTTTGATTGTTTGTTCAATTCCATAGAACAAAAAGGTAGGTATTTATGTATGAGTAACCTGATATATATATATATATATATGTATGTATGTATGTATTGTGGGAAATATGCATGCATATATTTCTGTATATGCGAGTAATCATTGGTGGAGCTGTATAACCCTACTCAAAATTGGGATTTTTTTTCTTTCTTTAGATATGTATATTTATGCAAAAGTTTAGGAGTTTCAGAAATGTAAGACAGTGGAATAATTAGAAAAATTAAAATTGGGGTTTTTTTTTGTTTGTTTGTGATTGAATCTTGGATTTGGGGGAGTGATTTGTAGAGGGAAAAGGAAAGTGATTGGAAAAATGAATGAAAGATAAGATTAAAATAAAATGAGCCGATTGTATGAACAGTGCCTAAAATTAAAAATGAAAATTGGGAGCTTTGTTGTGTTGTTGTTGTTGGTGTTTATTTTTTTATTTTTTTCTTTTTTCCCCCCTCCCCCTTAATTATTACATAAACTATAATAATAGTTTGATTTTTAAATTTGACTTTGATAAAAGGAAAACCCCAATTGTAGTTGTCTGGTTATGTGATGTATATGAGGCAACTAACATATTTAATTATTGTTCTTTTTTTTTTTTTGGGTCTTGTCTTGTTGTTGTTATTGTTTATGTATGTGTCTTTTGTGTTAATTTAGTGTTTTTGCTTATGAAATTAGTTTATATGATTTTCGTGATACACATTAAAGTTAGTCTTACCAGCTTTTTTATCTTGACATTTTTATCATTGTTTAGATTTCATATTGGAATTGTTGTCTGTACTGCTTTCGTTCTTTCTTTTTCCATTCAAGGTGAATCGCAATCGTTCATTTCCATAAGTGCAGATATGTCTTGTTTATTTTCTTTTTTCCATTTTGTGTAAGAATTTAAAGTGGGCCTTACAATGTTGGGTTGTTACTCCAACGTTATGTAACATGTGTATGTGGTGTATTTGTTATGACAAAGATGAGTGTGTGTAACAACCCGACCCTCTTACATGCTTTAAATCTTTAGTTATATGAGTAATTACATGTTAATGTGAAATTTTCCATGTGGAGTTGTGCTTACATATGTGAATTATTTAATTATGATATTATATCTGTTGATTATTGGAGGAAAAAAATCTGTTGAAATTGAGACATTTGGATTGGAAATTGAAAGCCTTAGAGGCGCGATAACTTGAAATTGACTTTACATTTATGGTTAGCATAATTTTTAGAACATAATATTAATTTTTGCAAAAATCTGATTCGTAATGAATTAATTGATGTAACTTAGGCCCATTAATTGAACTAAAGAGCCTTAGTAGATATGAGATATATATGTGTGACTTTAGGTGACTTAGTGGAAGTAACTCTACATACTGGCCATCATTACTGTTCGGTCTTTCAAGACCTACTGTTACTGTTATGCTAATGGATGTACCACATATGACTGTTTACTGTACTGAGCAACTGAATTACTGATTGAAATGAACTGTTTTCATTACTGTAAGGACATTCATTCTCAACCTCTTTACGCTTTATGTTATTCACTGGGCTTTAGCTCACTGCTTATATATATATGTAGGTGTTCAGGCACCAGACCGCAGCTATGAGCGTCAGGGTTACTCCTGTTTTGTCAAGCCAACCATTGTACCTCACCGCGAGGTTCCGAGCCTATTGTGTTAAGGCTTAGGGGTGTTTTACACTTACCCCTTCTGTACTGGTTTACTGTTCTGTATGGACTGAATGTTTCCGTACTGTTATGTAGGGATTGAGTCCCTAATCTGAATGATTGTAAATGTTGCATACTGTTCTGTACTGTTTATGTATGAATGTATGAAAAATCGTTTTGGCATACAGATTGTCACAGCTCAATGGACATTATTTATTTACTGTATTGGCTTCCGCCAGGCCCTGTACTCTGTTTTACTGTATTACTGTTCTGTAGGCCTTCGGTAATCTCGGATTACTGGCCGGTTACGGTGCTAAACCCATAGGGCCGGGTTTGGGTCGTGACACCAAATAAAACAAGTCTTGATCTTAATGGGCTAGAATTTCATGTTCATGAGTTTATATGACATGTTTTTAAGGTAAATTTCACTTGATTTTGGCTATGTGACTATCCCTTGCAAGCTTTGAACTGTTGAAGTTTTGGACAGGAAAAACAGGGCCAGAACTGCATGTGGGAGGCTCACAGCCACACATGCAGGAGACACAGACGCACGTGCAGAAAATAGGGGAGAAGAACTGAACTACACCGCAATAAAAGCACGTGCGGCTTAAGCTGGAAAATTCTGTTGGTTTCTTTCGCTCTTTTTGACCCTCTGAATGTGTTATTATGTCCGTTCGATGTTCTTATAATACATTTAATTACATGGAACTTAACGAATCAAATATTTGAGAAATAAGAGGAAACTAAAGAAATGTGATGTACTTACGAGTTGTATGCTATGTGTAGGGCACATACAGGAGTGGACCATCGTTCACCCGCATCACAGTGAGTGATAGTAGTGTAATGTCATGTTTCATTCACATATTGTGTTTATATATGTTGTTCGATATCTTATTCACTCTTTTAGTAAGCAACTTATGTTATATGAGATATGTTTGATATATGTTTGAACTTTGGCACATGAGATATGGACCCGAGGTCGTTCTGTTTGCTATTATGATGGGCCCAAGGTTGTTTTGTTAATATGATGGGCCTAAGGCCGTTTTGTATTTCATTAGGCTCGAGGTCGTTTTGCTATTATAATGGGCCTAAGGCCATTCTATATTACGATGGGCCTAAGGCTGTTTTGTATTACGTTGGGCCTAAGGCCATTTTGTCTTATGTGGGCCCGAGGCCGTTCAGAAAAGGAAATATGAATAAGACCAACGTATGATTTAAGAATATGCACTGTTAAATTATACTCGTACTCCTAATCTGTTTGTATTGCTGTCATTCACTGAGCCTTGCTCACTCCATTTTTATGGATGTTTTGTAGGTAATCAGGCCGCGAAACAACCTTAGGTCAGCCCAAGAGCCTTTTGTTGGACCCGTTTTGCTGAGTCACCCGAAGTGACTTTTTGTTTTATTTTTGGGAAACCCATATGTTGGCATGTTTTGTTGGAATTTGGAAGAATAGACATGTGTATATATTGTCAATACCTAACTTTTGGGTTGTTACCCTTTTCCACATTCAGTAAATGTGAATGGTGTATGAAATGTTATGTACTTATGTATGTTGATGCATTAAGATCCTGGCATGTAGTCATAACTCAATGACTGTTTTATTCTATTATTTTGCTTTCGTTCTGGCCCCAATATTGAATAAAATTTAAGATAATAAAGTTGAGGCCTCAGGTCAGGCCAGTCATGTCCAAAGTTTTAGGGGCAAATTTGGACCGTGACAGTGTGACTTTCAAATGCTCTTTTTTTTTTTTTTTTTTTTTTTTTCAAATGCTTTTTTTTACAATTATGCACGTCAAGAATATATATATCTATACACTATTATATAAGAGGGAGTTCATTGTGCTACAGTATTTGTGGCTTTCTTTTTCAATTTCCCCTTTTGCCCTTTTCATTTGTTGAATTTTCCAAGCCATCTCATGTATTGATTTTCTTAGTACTTATTATTTTGGACTATTTTGTAATTTCATGGCCCAACTTTGCCTGTCATATTAAAGTGTTCATCACATGGCCACTACCTTTGTTTGGAACAGAAAGAGCAAAGCATGTCTCCGTCATTTTACACTCTTCCTCTCTTTGGCGGGGATGATGACCTAGACGACGGTGAGATCGCCAGCTTTATTAACAGTGAGACCCATTACCACTTCTATTTCGAATCAAAACCCACAGAAGATGAGGTCCAAGAAAGATCTCGACCGAAGATCTGCATTGTCATGGCTTCAGGATCCTGACTGAAGATGGGGTACAAGGACGATCTCCCTTGAAGATGAACTCTTCTGACAACTTCACCAACAGAATCACACGAGGTACTTTTGCTATAATTCGCCAATTCTAGGCTGAGATCGGTGTTCTTTTTTTAATTTAATAATTTGATTCTTTGTAACTCTGTGCTTTTTTAATTTCAGAGAATTTGATATTGAAGTAGTTGATGTTTCTCTTTTAGCTCAACGTAGAAGAACTATGAATATACATCGGTCTTTTAGATTTTTGTTTTACTGGCTTCTGTTTTCTCGGCTTCAAGATTGCTCCATTATTTTTTGTAAGGTGTGTTCTGCTCTTCTCTTCTCTTCTCTTGCCCTCTTTTGATGATTTTGCTAAAGTAATTAGACTCCTAGTTCTTCAAATGGCAGAATTTGTTTTGGATTTTCGATGGTTTTCATTTTTTTAAAAATTATTTGCAAGAGGTGAAACTCTCGATTTTAGGTTTTTTTTTTTTTTGATTTATTTGTAGGGGTCAACTTCAAAGCATGTCATATTTGAGCTAAAAGCTATTTTCTTTTTATTTTTGTGAATCCTATTTTTATTTTTTAACCACATTTTTATTTTGTTTTCTTTTGAAGTATGTGAACTCCTATGGTTTTAACTATTATCTTTCCAATTCAGATGTTTTTTCCATTTCTATTCACTTCTGCTTTTGTTAATTGTATATGGTGTTTTTTTTTGGATTTGTGTTTTTTGGTATTTTCCTTTGGGATTGATATTGACACCATAAACCAAGTTATAATAGTAGCTATTCCAATTGAAGGAATCAGTGATGCGTACAAAACTACAGATCAAATATGTAGCCTTTTAATGTGTTTTTTTTTTAATTTTTATTTATTTTTTATTTATTTTTATTTCTTCAACTTTTCAATGTTTTCTTTCAAGCATTTCATATTGTAGCTTTTCAAATTGCATTATGTCGATTTTAGGATGAGAGGTTCAACACAAAGGCAATGTGCCAGGGTCAGTAGTATATTTACTTATACTTTGGCCAAATCCTCCTCTACTTCGATGAGAACTTTCTTTGCTTGAAAATGGCCTTGTCTTCAATATGTAAGTGAATTGTTTGTTGTATTGTCTAAATGAATCCAATTATTCTATCAACAGGCTTCAAAGGGTATGTTATTTATTAGACATCAATACTAATTGCACATATAAACTGTATTTTCACTCTGGTTTGTTACTTCTATGCAAGTCCAAAAAAAGTGTTGAGGATTTGTTTGCATTTGGAATATCGAAGTTAATGATCGAGTATGGACATCTTAATGTTATTCTTCCTAATCCTCAAATAACTTCAAGTCAATATTTTTGACTTTCTCAGCTTTGCTATTGATTTGTGAGGTTGATATAGGTAAGCAAGATTCTTTTGGTTGATCTAGGGATGGCTCATTTGGTTTAGCTCGTAAGCTAGTGTTTAAAAAAATATGATTAAGCAAAATTAGTATGAAGTTGAGTATGGTTCACACTAGACTTGCATAAGAAATTATTTGGAAGTTAAAAACCTCATTCGAGTTACTTGGAAATTAATGTTAAAAAATCTAATTTGATTTGGAGATTAGGTGTCTATACTCTATAGATGTGCTGTTGAAATTTGTTGCAGATTTAGCTATATTTGTTGGTAGATTCTCTATTCTACTCAAAACCAAATGGATTAAACCTTTTCAGTCTCCCCCCACCATCTCCTCCTTGAGGTTGATTTTTTTGTGCATCCTACTTGTATCAATATTGAAATGGGTTTTGCATTTTTGGCCTTTGTTTGAATCATAGATTGGACATATTTGCATTTAGCCTAAAGCTGTGATGAATAATGAACCATCATGTCTTACAAAGAGCATCCTTTTTCTTCTAATTCTACTACAATTGCTCTAAAGAAACATGTAGATTTTTAAACTACCTTTTTAATAAAAATTTTAGTTGTTTTAGTCCATTATTTATTGAATTATATTTTTTGTATTTTAGGTTCAGTCAGACTCAAGACAACATGTAGACTATTTTAATTAAAATTTTAAATTAAACTTTAAGCTATTTTTTTTATTTCAATTCTTAGTTAATCCATATTTTGCCTATTTAAAGATGTGTGGTTCTATGTATATGTGCTAGCTGAGTAGTTTTAATTGGTGTTGGTTGTCATTTTGTTCCAGTGAAATCCATCAATATCACTGTGGTTATTGTTGATTAAAATAAAATTGGCAATATTGTTATGGCCTTTTATTGATGACCACATTGTGTCTGCTAAAAACCCTTTATCATTAGTAATTACTTAATTCTTTGGTTTTTGATTCTTTGGCTTTTGATCTCACTATACATGCCGCTCCATTCCTAAGTGAATCAACAAATATTGTTTGTATGTGTTGTAATATTTTGGAAGCTTCACACGTACTAAAGTTGGTAAGGGTTAGTCACTATCTTATGCCCTTTTGATTGGGTAATTCAAAGCCCGATTCACATCATTATGCTCGATAAAAGGAATGAGGGAAGCTCCAATTGAAAAATATTGAAAGGGAAATGGCGACAAACTCTTATGTTCTTGTCATTATGGTTTATTTGGTCGATAACTCAGAAAAGATAGATTGCCTATCTTTTCTTTCATTTTGGGAGAAATTTGAATTTACGAGAGCTTGGTAATTGCATACCATCAAATTTTTGAAAAACACCAAATGGGAGCATCCACTCAACTAAGACAAGGGATCTCTCTTTTCTATCAACAAAGACAAACACCACTCCATCTTCTTTCTCACAAAGCAAAATGGACTTGCATAGATTAGCTAAATTCCCTCTCCTCATCAATTCTTCACTCCTATGTAGTTCTATTAGGATTGTATCTCATTCCTTTAATTATTTCATGTGTTGATTTTATTCTTTTTTTATTTTTTATTTTTTTATTTTTTTAACTTTGACATTATAGGAATCCATCTAACATGTTAATTTGCTTACTGTTCATTTTAATACGTAGTGGTTATGTCAATTTTGAAGCAGTTATGCACAAATGCACAATCTGGTAACACTTTTTAAATTAATATAGTTTACAATTAGATGTTATTTTATATAAGGATCAAAGTAACAGTCAATGTTAATTCTTCAATTTTAATTCATATGTTTAATGCTCTCTTTTTTTCACAATGATGCAACTATTTTCAATTTTAAGAATGTTGAAGAAGAAAAATCATCAAATCTCACTCCTACTTGACCAACTAGATTATGTGGACTTTTTGTTCGACTCTATAAAAGCTGCATTGCTGATTTTTTATTTCTATTTCATCGTTGAGAAAATCATGGGTAAACAAAGAACTTGAAATGTGTTTTACATAAAGTCATATCATTTGAAATGTGTTTTACATATTTATTCATAGTGTAGATTTCTGCATAAGCACGCATGTATTCTGCATGTGTTAGTCATAGATAGATTACTTATGCTTATACATTTCTTTGTATTGTTTGGTTTGCAGAACAACATAAATTGGGGAATGATACATAGATGGAGCAAACAAAACTGATTTTCTTCTATCAAGGAAAACTTTCAGTTAAAAGTGCGACCAAAACAAAGCATAGGTTTACAAAATTTCTACCATGATTCTTCTTCTTCTTCTTCTTTTAAAAATTCCCACTTCCTCAAGCTTATAGATTGAATCCAGTTCACCTCATTATGGATTTGGAACATATGATATTGAGAAGGAAATGACTGTGAGAGAAACCTTGGCATTTTCAACGATTTCTTTTAGAACCTTGGGCAGGTCTGGTTTACTGCTTTGTTGAGTGAAGTGAGTACATGTTGTAGCTGTGTATATGCTGCTGCAATCTGTGTATATGTTGTGGGTTGATGGGTTTTACCTTATGTATTGCTTTGGTTTTTGTTGAGGGTTGAGTGACAATATGTAGCGCCCCCAAAATAATACAATAAAGATAACTCATATACAGAATAAATATGAGAAACAACATACTTTCATATATCGGAGTTCACTGTTTAACAACCAGTTAAATGCTATGTAGGCTTATATCTTTCCAAGTCATTGCTTGGTTACACAAATTGAGTCTCGCTCATTACATCTTAAGCCCTTGGCTTTACAAATAACAAACATACACACATAAGACATAATTAAGAAGCTCTTGCTTCCCGAAAGTCCATCCATGCTATTGCCTTGGAGGAAACATTTCACCTGCACTTGAAAATGATATTCCTGTATAGGGTGAGCCAACAGTCCAGTAGAGATAATCTAACACAATATATGAGATTTAGCAAAGTTATAAGTACTGCGTGCATAAAAAATACCGATACTAAAATATTCACAAGGCCTGCATATTCATATGTCACTAAGACCAAACTTCATTTCCATTCTCCTTCACTTCATTTCAAGTTTATTTATATGCTACTCAATTCATGAGTTAAATCCATTATCTTTCAACAACTAAAATGAGACTACAACTTAATGGTTTTTCAACTATGCAAAAAGTACATAAACACTTCAAATCTGTCATTTTACGGATATTTCGTTTGAAGGAATCGGCACCCATTTATATATGCAATTTTGGGTCTTTCACCCAGGACACTCTGGCCAACTTGTTTAAAATGGAGTCCATCCCATTTCTCCTCCTAAACGAATGTATATATGCAATGTATTTATAAACATAATCATATATGGAGTACATCTCCTTTCTCCTCCCAATAAACATACATATACAATGTATTTATAACATGGTCATATCAAAAAATCTAGAAATCCGCTAGATATTGATTTGTGATTATGTATCAATTTAAAACAATAAAATATCCCAATCAAATAATCACGATAAATCGACACAACGATTTTAATGTGGAAAAATCACAATTGGAGCACCTCTAATTGTGATAAAAAAAAATTACGGGCAACAGTCACAAAACAATTCACTAAGAAAATATGAAGGAATTATACAAGTATACTCTCAATTACCTAGCGAATCCACGCCCGAATTGAACCAACCCCTATGTGTCTCTTCCAGCCCCGTCTTTACCTAGGAATTGTCTTGACGATGAGCCACTCCATAATCCACCAAAGCTTCAGGCTCGAATTCTTCAAAATTCATCGAAGAACAACTCTCTCTTTTGTATAGAATGAACAAACAATCCTTTGATGTATCATCCTTAAACCATGAGTTGAATACTCAATGAAACATCAAAGAAAACTAGCAAAATATCTCCAGATATAAACCTTAATATCAAAAAAGAAGATCTGGAGGAGTAATCCTAAAATATGACAGAAACACGTACTTATAGAAATCTGGGATTATAAAGCTCGCTCGAGCGAGGAACCAAAAAAGCATGTTTTCCATAAGTGGCTTCGCTCGAGCCAAACAACCTTTGCTCGAGTGTACATTCATCCTTCTCAGGTTTTTGGCCAAACGCAGCGTTCGCTCGAGCGAGAACTCCTTCGCTTGAGCGAGCAAGGGCGGACATGTAACTTTGAATGCAATTTTGTATTTTGCTTCGGGGGCATTGCCCCTCGACCTCGCCTGGGCGTTGCTCCGAACCCGCCAAGGGGCGCTGCCCTCTGGACCCCTGCCAGTTGACCGGGCAGTTCGATCCCCGTCATAATCAGTGAAGTGGCAATCTTAAAAGTATTAACATCACAAACTTCTCTGCAAGGCATAATTCGGGTTGGATTCGCATCTGAAAACTAATAGCCTCACTGAAATAAAAAGTGCGAAAACAAGTACAACTGAAAGGAGTTTTGTCAACCGGGATTGCCAAAAATAAAAACCTAACAATCTCTCCCTTTGGCAATGCTGTGACAAAATACACCTAACAAAAAAAATCCTAATCACCCCAACCCATTACAGCCAACAAAAATAAATTTCTTTCTCAAGGTCATGATCTGCAAAACAGTTATTTGTGCCACAATCTCCAAAACAACTATTAGTCCCACAAGAGTATATGAAAAAATAATAAACATATGACTAGATTATCTTGAAGCATTAAATGAAAAACATGAATAGATGTGACTTGGAGATTTTAAGAACATGTAGCATGACAATTGGAGATTTAAAGAACATATAGCATGAATAGATGAAAACTAAGACACATGCACCCGACACATGAATGGATGAAATCACACTACAACACATGTGCATGAAAACATGAACAACAGCTTTCTCCCCCTTTTTGTCACAAATTGACAATGGAAGCTCAATCAACTAAAGTAAGATCATAAACCACACAAGCAATGATATGTGTAGATACCCCATTTTTTACCGTCCTCAAGACTTGGCTGTCACCGTTTGAACGCTCGGCGATCATCCGTGTTCGTGTTCGTTTTGAGTTCCCGGAGGTCTCGGCCGCGCGCCTTGCCTCAGGATCTCTTAACTTGCCTGTTCTGTGCTTAGTTTTGCATCAAGAACTTGTTTGTTTTTGCACCTGAGGGTAGGAGGTGGCTTGTTAGCCATCCCCTAAAACCCATCGGCCGTGGCATGAAGCCACCAGCCTTGCTTTTTCTTCTACCGACCAAATATTTTGGTCGGTCGGCACTTCTGTTAGGTGTATCGGCTCTTTGTGTGGTCGATCGGCCATTTATTTGGCTGATAGTCTCTTTCTTTGGCCAATACCTCATTTTTTCCTTTTTCAGGCATTGTGCATGCCAGCTGTGCCAGCTGGAGTGCACGGACCTGTCCTCCATACACGTGTATGGAGGAATTTGCACCCTTTGCACCCTTTTGGTCTAGCTTCTTGAGGAAGCTTGGACACTTGTCTCAGCTTCCTTAGGAAGCCTTGACCCCTTTTGTTTAGCTTCTCTTGGAAGCTTAGGCCTTTGCCTTGTCTATATAAGAGGGCCCTCCCTCTCCTTTGAAGAGGTTGAGCAAAAAACCAGAGATATATGATATATACAACTTTCTCTCTCTACATCTCCCTCTCTCTCTTCATTTGGGTGTGTTAGAGGGCCTAAAAGGGTGTTTTGTTCTTAGTTTTGCACTAAGGCACCTAGTATTACACCATACTTGGGTTATTGAGGTGTTGGGAGGTTGTTCTTAGAGCTTTTAAGCTGGTTTTGATCAGAAAAGGGGCCTGAGGTTGCTGTTCTTCAAGTGTTCTTCAAGGGTAAGAACTTTACCCCTTTATTCCCCATTTTTGCTTAGGCTTTTAGCCATCCTTGCATCTGTTTTTAAGCTTTGTGTATAACTAATAAAAGTTCTAATTTTGAGTGTTTAAAATAGTTGTTTAAGGCTGTTTTGGTGTTTGGGGTTGTTTGACCCCCCTTAGGCCTTGTTTGGCCTCATTTTTGTGCATTTTTGGTGAGCTTCGGGACCACCTTGTTTTGGCCTCCTCACCACTGAAATCTAGAGGGATTTCAGTGGTGAGGATGGTGCTTTAAGGTCTTAGGAAGGAGAGGGCCATCCCCTCTCCTTGTTGTCTTCAATACTTGCCATTTTAGCCTCATGTGTGGGCACCTTTCTTGAGTTCATGTTGGCCATGTCTTAAGTAGTATTTGTGCTTATTTTTCCATGATATAACATTGTTTCAAGTTGGTTTAGACACACCATGCATGCTTTGCATACTTGTCTTGTAATGCCATGAAATTGCCTTAACATGCTTTGTGCTTTGAGCCTTGTTTCTAGCATGATTTTGGCTTAGCTTTGTGAAGCTTTTATGCATGTTTTGATGTGCTTGAGGTCTAATTTTGGTTATTTGGGTCGTTCATGACTTGTTTTGTATAGCTACCATGTAATCTCCCTTGTAAGCCTTGAGTGTTGGCCCCTCTAGCATGCTCTCCTTGCATCATTTCAGTGGTTTGGAACCACTTAGTATGTCATTTCAGTCCATATAGCATGCTTGTATACTTGCATTTGTGGCTCCTTTGATGCTTCGAAGGTTGATGTCTTATGCTCCATGTTTGGACCTTTGTGCATGCCTTTAGACTTAGGCCATTTAGATGCCATCTAGGTGGGTTTTGGAGCTCATTTTAGCATGTCATATCTCTGTTTTTGGTCGCTTAATTCATACCATGCTTGGTTGCATTAAGTGTGGTGTAATGCCTCTTTAGTGGCCTTGTATGCCTCATGCATTTGCTCATTTTGTTTTAGCTTGTTGGCTTAGGTCATCGCATGCGTTAAGCTTACTTTGCCATGCTTTAGGACTGTCTCGAGTCATATTTGCCATATGCCCTCTGTTTTGCATGGTTTTGGTTAAAGTCCTCTTGCTATTTTTGGGCTTTAAGCTTTATTGCATGCCATGTTTGGTTTGTTTATGTGATTTGGCATCACTCTTAGTGCCATTTCAGAGCTTGCAACATTGTCACATTTGCTTGCTTTTCATCCTCTTTTAAGTGTGCTTAAAAGTCCCCTCTTTATGCTTAAGTGTTGGTTTATTTGCATGCATGTTTGCATGTGCATTTGTCCCTCATTCTTGAGTACTTTGGCCACTGTTTTGGGCTTATTTAAGAGCAGCCCAAATTAGTCTAAGTCCACCTTTTGTATGTTGCTCAAATATTGTTACATTGCTTCATGCCTGCATGCTTAGGTTGCATTTGGCATGCATGCCTTGCCTTTTGAATCACCATGATTAAGGTTGGGTTTATTGTGTGTTTATGTGCATTACATTTGACATCAAAATGCACAACTCGACACCTTGGACCATCACGCATTGAAATGCGTGATTGGTGGTCCGAGGGTCGAACACCATACCCCTTTGAGTCACAAACATGATAAGGGGTGTGGTGGTGCAAACAATGCTTTGAAATGCATTACCATGCCTTGCCTTGTCCTCTGCTGCTGTCAAAACAGGATTCTGCAGGCATAGATGGCCGACCGACCACATTGAGTGTCGACCGACTACAAATCTTTGGCCGAGAGCCATACCAATGGTCGATGACCACTTTCCCATGGCCGGTGACCATTCCTCATGGCCGGTGGCATCCCACAGTGTTCAGAGAGTGCTCCTTGGGACCTGTGCAATTTTCAGAGGCATAAAACAGTGAAAACAG